CAGCTGTAGGTGACATACACCATTTTAAATAGCAAATCTGAATTTCAATTAAAAAGGCATCTCCCTGTACACTAAAACCTTGTATAATCACAAAAATTTTATAGACAGGAACTACTGATCACAACAAAACTAGGCCACGTTCAGGAACATTTGTAGATTAAAAAATCGCGTATTGTTTTCTTTAAAAAAAAATCCTAAGATCCGAAAATGGATGAAATAAGATATCTCAAGATAAGACCTACTTCAAAAGAATATCAATGAAGTTGAATTAAATAATATTTACTGAGTATGAGGATATACAGTACACAGGGGAATTTTCGCTCCCGTTTTATTTTCGCCCCTTTCGCATTCGTCGCAATTGGGCGAATTCAAAGAAAACGGCATTATTTCTTTAACAGAACTGTGTCTGGGCGAATTCAAAACGGGGCAAAATCGTTTGCATGTGTGAAAGGACGAAAATCAGAAGGGGGAAAATAATCCTGTATACAGTATACATTTGTTGTTTTAGATATGCTTGGCTGCTACGAGGATTCTAGGAATAGGGTCCTTAACGGACGACGGACGTACGGCAATCACATGACAGTCGGTCGCTGTAGACGGAGATGTGAGAAAGAAAGAAAACGATTTTACGGAGTCGAGGTATTTTTTTCTTGTCCCTATTGATTTATGGGTTTTACAAAAAGGGAAGTGTTCAGCACAAATAATATTTTCATGTAGATGTATAAAAATCCAATCGCGAATCTCAAAATCAGCATTGTTTAAAATAAACCAGAAATTATTTTGTTGTTTTTTTAAGAATAAAATATAAAAATATCAGATTGAGTTCTGTAGAATGTTGTTTATAATCAAGTATCTGCATCAAAAGAATTTTATGTTTTAAATGTGTAATTCTTGGAATCTTATGATTCAGATGAAATTTCTCTTACAATTAAAAAGATTTTATTTACATAAAATAATATAGGCTGGCAATGAATGTTTTTGTGGGAATTCTATGCGGTACAAAAAAAGAAAACCATTGAAAGAATGCAGGATGAAATGTAAGGGAAATCACGAGGCTTGTGGAGGCGCCTGGAGGATCTTGATTTACAGAAACCCGAAATACCGCAATTCAAGTGAATATTATTAAGTTTACACTAATCAATCAATTGAAATTCAAATTATGCATTATTATTTTTGATTTTTTGTCGAATTGAATGTACTAGTATTTGCATTAGTAACTTCTTTTTTTAAATGATATGACACCTTAATAAATATTTTAACGATTGATACCTTGATATCTTCCATTGTAGACAATAGAAAAGGAAAAATTCGAAGGAAAGGTAAACTAATTACTTTAATTTAACATTGAAAGGATTATATTTTTTCTTATGTTGTATGATAACCATGCAGAGGATTGACAAAATATCGGAATCAATGTTCAACTATTACCACTTATCAATGCAATAATAAAAGTGGCACAGCTTGATGAGAAAACGTATTTCAATGTCTGGAAGAAAAACTAAAGATAAATATCAGTATTAATAGATTTAAAGAACATCGCTAAAATGTGAAAACAACGAAAATGGTATACCTTTACAGGTCATATACCTATTGAAAATTAATCATTGTTCAAATTTCATTTTTATTTTATTGATCTTGAAATTGAGAAAAGAATAATTTGCCATCAATACCCATATCTATCAAATTTTCCTTTATATGTTTTAGCTCTACAGGTCAAAGAAATGCGTTGATAAAGTGGCTGACCGACTGTTTGTGTATCTGTTAGTCTGTAGACCTTTTTCAAACTATTTAAATACATAAGAATGGATAATGGAAAAATCTTACTTTTCTTTTAGATATGCTTGGCTGCTACAAGGACTCGAGGAAAAGGGTTCTTAGTGGACGACGGACGCATGGCAATCACATGACAGTTGGCCGCTGTAGACGAAGATGTGAGAAAGAAAGAAAACGATATTACGGACTTGAGGTAGATTTTGCCCACATTGATTAGAACAATTCATAGAAAGGAATGGCGAATTCATAATTTTCAATGTATAAAAACTTATTCTGAATTCCAACTTCAAAAATAATTTGAAAGGAACTAGTTTGTTTTTTTTTTATAATTGAGTTAAATTAATTAAAAATAACAGAATCAGTTGGTTATAAAATCTATATATAAAAGTTCGATATCAAAAGAGTTTTATTTATACATTAAGTGTAATTTATTTTATTTATTTATTAAATTAATTTCTTTATTAAAATGCAGGCTGGCAATGAATGTTTCTGTGGAAATTCCATGCGGTACAAAAAAAGAAAACCATTGAAAGAATGCAGGATGAAATGTAAGGGAAATCACGAGGCTTGTGGAGGCGCCTGGAGGATCCTGATTTACAGAAACCCAAAATATCGCAATTCAGGTGAGTACTATTAAGTTTGTTTGTTTATTTTTTTATTGTTTAACGTCCCTCTGGAGAATTTTTAACTCATATGGAGACGCCACCACTTACCGGTGGAGGGCTACAAATTTTGACCTATACTCGGCACTCAGGGCCATTGAGCAGTAAGGGATCTTTTTCGTGCCAGCACCTACTGCGACACGGGACCTCGATTTATACGGTCTCATCCGAAGGACCGGTCTCCACGTCCCACAGTGGGATTCGAACCGGCGACGTAAGGATCAACTCCTTACTCCGCGACTCTAGAGCAAACGCTCTAACCACTGCGCCACGAGTACTATTAGGTTTATGCTAATTGATTTATTGAAGTTTAAAGTATGGTGGTATGTTTTTGAACTTTTATCGAACAAAATGTAGTTGTATTAGTGACATTTTAATTTTTTTTAAAATTTATCTGAACAGAAAAAAAGTTTAACAAAATAGGAAAAAAACATTGAAACACCTCAATTTCAAGTAGCATATATCTGAATAAATATTCCAATAATTGATACCTTCATTCTTTTTCTGTTAAAGACAAAAGAAAAGGGAAAATTCGAAGGAAAGGTAAGTCAATAACCTTAATTAAATATTGATAAGGTTATATATTCCTTCTGTTGTATGATAACAATGCATTTTCCACGAACAACAGATATAGATAGAAAATTGACAAAATAACAGATTTAATATTCATTTGTTATCACTTATCAATAAAGAATGAATAATATGACACAGCTTGAATTTATGTATCATGAAAAATGTATTTCCATGTTTTGAAGAAAAGCGAAAGATAAATATTAATAGATTTAAAAAATCATTGTTAATATATGGAAAAAAGAAATTTACATTTTATACCTTTCTACATTTATTGTAAATTTATCTCATTTCAAATTTCATTTCTATAAAATTGATTGTTAAATGGTGAAAATAACAATTTGCCATCAATATCCCTATCTATCCAGTTTTCTTTTACATCTTTTTTTCTACTGACGTTTTAGCTCTACAGATCGAAGAAATGCGATGATAGAGTGGCTGACCGACTGTTATTGTTTCTGTTAGTCTTTAAATATTTTCGAGCTTACAAAAAAAAATAATAAAAGAATTCAAATTTGAATATTCCTAACTCTTCTTTTAGATATGCTTGGCTGCTACAAAGATTCGAGGAAAAGGGTTCTTAGTGGACGACGGACGCATGGCAATCACATGACAGTTGGCCGCTGTAGACGAAGATGTGAGAAAGAAAGAAAACGATATTACGGACTTGAGGTAGATTTTGCCCACATTGATTAGAACAATTCATAGAAAGGAATGGCGAATTCATAATTTTCAATGTATAAAAACTTATTCTGAATTCCAACTTCAAAAATAATTTGAAAGGAACTAGTTTTTTTTTTATAATTGAGTTAAATTAATTAAAAATAACAGAATCAGTTGGTTATAAAATCTATATATAAAAGTTCGATATCAAAAGAGTTTTATTTATACATTAAGTGTAATTTATTTTATTTATTTATTAAATTAATTTCTTTATTAAAATGCAGGCTGGCAATGAATGTTTCTGTGGAAATTCTATGCGGTACAAAAAAAGAAAACCATTGAAAGAATGCAGGATGAAATGTAAGGGAAATCACGAGGCTTGTGGAGGCGCCTGGAGGATCTTGATTTACAGAAACCCGAAATACCGCAATTCAGGTGAGTACTATTTTATGCTAATCGATTGATTGAAATTCAAAATATAGAGGTATATTTTTTCAAAAATTTTATCAAGATGAATGTATATTTATCGGTCACTTTTTAATTCTTTTTAATTGATTAAAAATTATCAAATTATTGTTGAAAAAAGTGATAGTTTCTGTATATGGTGAAAAAAAAAAACAAAATAGCCAAAAAAAAAATTGAAACACCTCAATTTGAAGTAACATACACCCGAATAAATATTCCAACAATTGATACCTTCTTTCTTTTTCTGTTGTAGACAAAAGAAAAGGGAAAATTCGAAGGAAAGGTAAGCCAATAACCTTAATAAAATTTTTATTTGGTTATATATTTCCTCTGTTATATGATAACCATGAAATATTTGGAGATAACGAACAGTATTCGAGCTCAAAAGGCCATGAAACATTACAAAATAGGATCAGAGCTAACACGGACCTCTAAGACATCAGAGGTGGGATGCATTTTCCAAGAACAACAGATATAGATAGAAAATTGACAAAATAACAGAATAAATGTTCATGTGTTATCACTTATCAATAAAGGATGAATATGACACAGCTTGAATTCATGTATCATGAAAACGGTATTTCCCGTGTTTTGGAGAAAAGCGAAAGATAATTTTTCATAGATTTGAAGAATCATTTGGGAAAATAAAACTAGTTTACATTTCTTTTTTTAACATCTTATGTTCTATTAAAATATTATTTTAGTTCAATTTCATTTTTTATGATTGACGTTTTAACTCTACGGGTCGAAGTAATGCGATGACAAAGTGGCTGACCGTCTGTTACTGAATTTGTTTATAAATTTTTTCGAACCTTTTAAAAATATAAGAATTCAAATATGAAATATTCGTGTTTTTCTTTTAGATATGCTTGGCTGCTACAGGGACTCCAGGAAAAGGGTTCTTAGTGGACGACGGACGCATGGCAATCACATGACAGTTGGCCGCTGTAGACGAAGATGTGAGAAAGAGAGAAAACGATTTTACGGACTTGAGGTAAACTTTGCCCACATTGATTTGAAGAATTTATAGGAAGGAATAGTAAGATCACAATTTCCAATGTATAAAACTTATTTCGAATTCCAACTTCAACAATGATTCGAAAGAAACTATTTTTTTTAAACTGAGTCAAATTAATGAAGAAAAAAAAAAACAGAATCAGGATGGTTATAAACTAATTCGATATCAAAAGAATTTTAATTCTACATAAAGTGTATTTTTTAAAAAAAATGAATTTCTTTTTTTTTTAAATGCAGGCTGGCAATGAATGTTTCTGTGGGAATTCCATGCGGTTCAAAAAAAGAAAACCATTGAAAGAATGCAGGATGAAATGTAAGGGAAATCACGAGGCTTGTGGAGGCGTCTGGAGGATCTTGATTTACAGAAACCCGAAATACCGCAATTCAGGTGAGTAATATTAATTTTATGCTAATCAATTAATTGAAGTTCAAAATATGGAGGTACATTTTTGAACTTTTATCGAACAAAATGTATTTGTGTTAGTGAAATTTTTTTTTTTTTAATTTATCTGAACAGAAAAAGTTTAACAAAATAAAAAATAAAGCATTGAAACACTTCAATTTGAATTGACATATTCCTGATTAAATATTCCAACAATTGATACCTTCATTCTTTTTCTGTTGTAGATAAAAGAAAAGGGAAAATTCGAAGGAAAAGTAAGCCAAAATTACCTTAATTAAATATTGATAAGGTTATATATTTCTTCTGTTGTATAATAACAATGCATTTTTCACGAACAACAGATATAGATAGAAAATTGACAAAATAACAGAATTAATGTTCATTTGTTATCACTTATCAATAAAGAATGATTATCGAAGAAGAGACAACAACACAAAACATTGTATACTTATTGAATTTATCATATATACCCTAATTGTGGCGTATAAGTGGGCACGGCATTGTATTATAAATTTAAATTTGGCTGCCATTTCAACTTGGGCAAGCCACAACATATCAACATCACAACATCAACTCAATGTTCAAATTCAACTGTTCAATCAACTTTCCTGAGGGCTGTGTGTTATCAGAAAGAGGGAAATTTAGTTTGAGAACGCGTTATATGCACTACCTTTCCCCGCCTACTCGAAGACTGACGTTAAGTAAGCTAGTTGTACAAGTTATCACCCTTTGCTTGTAAAACCATCGCTATTGTCTTTCTTCAATAAACTCATCTATTTTTTAAATTAATAGATGTTGTCAATATAACATAGCCACAGCGTTAATTCATGTATCATGAAAAACGTATTTCCATGTTTTCAAGAAAAACGAAAGATAAATATTGATAGATTTAAAAAATCATTGTTAATATATGGTGAAAAGAAATTCTATACCTTTATACGTTTATTGTAAATTTATCTCATTTCAACTTTTATTTCTATACAATTGATTGTTAATTGGTGAAAATAACAATTTGCCATCAATACCCCTATCTATCCAGTTTTCTTTTACGTCTTTTTTCTTCTGACGTTTTAGCTCTACAGATCGAAGAAATGCGATGATAAAGTAGCTCACCGACTGTTATTGTATCTGTTAGTCTTTAAATATTTTCGAATTTAAAAAAAAAAAATTCAAATTTGAAAATTCTTACTTTTCTTTTAGATATACTTGGCTGCTTCAAAGACTCGAGGAAAAGGGTTCTTAGTGGACGACGGACGCATGGCAATCACATGACAGTTGGCCGCTGTAGACGAAGATGTGAGAAAGAAAGAAAACGATTTTACGGACTTGAGGTAGATTTTGCCCACATTGATGCGAAGAATTTATAGAAAGGAATAGCGACTTCATAATTTTCAATGTATAAAAACTAATTTTTTTTTTGATTGAGTCAAATTAATTAAAAATAACAGAATCAGTTGGTTATAGAATCTATATATAAAAGTTCGATATCAAAAGAGTTTTATTTATACATTAAGTGTAATTTATTTTATTTATTTATTAAATTAATTTCTTTATTAAAATGCAGGCTGGCAATGAATGTTTCTGTGGAAATTCTATGCGGTACAAAAAAAGAAAACCATTGAAAGAATGCAGGATGAAATGTAAGGGAAATCACGAGGCTTGTGGAGGCGTCTGGAGGATCTTGATTTATAGAAACCCGAAATACCGTAATTCAGGTGTGTACTATTACGTTTGTGCTAATCAATTAATTGAAGTTCAAAATATGGAGGTATATTGTTTAACTTTTATCGAACTTTATGTATTTGTATTGGTGATATTTTAATGTTCAATTGATTAAAAATTATCAAATTATTGCTGAAAAAAATGACGAATTATATTTTTGAACAAACATTGTCAATTAAGTGTTAGTTTCTGTGTATGGTGAGAAAAAGTGTAACAAAATAGCAAAAAAAAAAAACAACATTGAAACACCTCAATTTGAAGTAACATACACCCGAATAAATATACCAATAATTGATACCTTCATTCTTTTTTCTGTTGTAGACAAAAGAAAAGGAAAAATTCGAAGGAAAGGTAAGCCAAAATTACCTTAACTAAATATTGATAAGGTAATATATTTCATCTGTTGTATGATAACAATGTTTTTTCCACGAACAACAGATATAATACAAAATTGACAAAATAACAGAATAAATGTTAACGCGTTTTCACTTATCAATAAAGGATGAATATGACAAAGCTTGAATTCATGTACATGTATCATGAAAACGGTATTTCCATGTTTTGAAGAAAAGCGAAAGATAATTTTTCATAGATTTAAAGAATCATTTGGGAAAACAATATTGGTTTACATTTTTAGGTCACCTGAGTCACTCAGGTGACCTATTGCTATCTGTTTTCGTCCGTCGTCGTGCGTCGTCCGTCGTGCGTTAACTCTTGAACATTTTTTACTTCTTCTCTAGAACCACTCAACCAATTTCAACCAAATTTGGCATATAGCATCTATGGGTGAAGGAGAACAAAAATTGTGAATTTCATGGTCCCTGCCCCCCCCCCCGGGGGGCCTGAGGGGTGGGGCTAAAACCACCAAAAATAATGCAATCTTTAAAAATCTTCTTCTTTACTCCTGGACATCAAGCAGTCAAACTGTGGCATCATTGTAATAAGCATTGAGCCCTCTACCAAAGTTGTGAAATTCATGGCCCCAGGGTCAGGGGTTCTGGACCCAAGGTGGGGCTATATAGATCATATAGTGAAAGTGCATTATTTCTTTGAAAATCTTCTTCTCTGCTCCTGGGTATTAAATAAAGTTACTAAGTACATAGTTATTATGAGCAAGAGTGCCTCTTCCAAAATTGTGAAATTCATGGCCCCAGGGTCAGGGGTTCTGGTGTTAGGGTGGGGCTCTATTGATTATAGAGTGAAAATGCATTAATTCTTTGAAAATCTTCTTCTCTGCTCCTGGGTATTGAATAAACTAATTAAGTACATAGTTATGATAAGCAATGATGCCTCTTCCAAAATTGTGAATTTCATGGCCCCAGGGTCAGGGGTTCTGGTGTTAGGGTGAGGCTCTATCGATTATATAGTGAAAAAGCATTAATTCTTTGAAAATCTTCTTCTTTGCTCCTGGGTATTAAATAAAGTACCTAAGTACATAGGTATGATGAGCAAAAGTGCCTTTTCAAAAATTTTGAATTTCATGGCCCCAGGGTCAGGGGTTCTGGTGTTAGGGCGGGGCTCTATTGATTATATAGTGAAAATGCATTAATTCTTTGAAAATCTTCTTCTCTGCTTCTGGATATTTAATAAAGTAACTAAGTACATAGTTATGATGAGCAAGAGTACCTCTTCCAAAATTGTGAATTTCAAGGCCCCAGGGTCAGGGCTTCTCCTCTGCTCCTGGGCATTAAGGTGATAAACTAAGTACATAGTTATGATGAGGAGGTGGGCCTCTTCCAGAATTGTGAAAGCCATGGCCCCTGGGTTAGGGGTTCTGGTGTTAGGGCGAGGCTCTATTGATTATATAGTGAAAATGCATTGATTCTTTCAAAATCTTCTTCTCTGCTACTTGAGACTATTTAAACAAACTAAGTGCATGGTTATGATGCATAAGGATGCCTTTTCAAAAATTGTGAATTTCATGGCCCCAGGGTCAGGGATTCTGGTGTTAGGGCGGGGCTCTATTGATTATATAGTGAAAATGCATTGATTCTTTGAAAATCTTCTTCTCTGCTACTGGAGATTATTTAAACAAATTAAGTGCATGATTATGATAGACAAGGATGCCTCTTCCAAAATTTTTAAATCAGTTTTGGGGGTTCTTGAGGAGGGGGGGGGGGCTCTATTGATTATATAGTGAAAAAGCATTAATTCTATTAATTAATCATTAATTAGTCCTGTCTGCTCCTTAGTGTTGAGCTGATAAATAAATTGCTTAGCTATGATGAAAATGGGAGCTTCGAACAGAATTTTAAATCTTGTGGTCCTAGGGTCAGGGGTTCTGGCATGACGACCGGGGGGGGGGGGGGGGGCTTTTGATAATATAGTGGAAAAGTGTTAATTCTTTGAAGTCCATAGTTATGATGATGAGGGTAATTCTTCCAAATTTGTAAATTTCTTGACCCTTGGTCTTGGGTTCTGATGTTAGGGTAAGGCTTTGTTGAATCTGTAGTGAAAATGCATTGTACCTGTGAATTTTTTCTCTGCTTCTGGGCATATCGGAAGCAAACTGAGTAAAAGTTTAAATGATATGAGTAAGCGTATTTCTACCAGATTTTTGAACATCTGGACGATTCATCGAAGCATTCTGGTCCTGGGCAGGGCTCTATTAATTTGTATTCTACTGAGAGAAGTTATTCCCCTTTTCCATTCATCTTTGATAATTAATCACTATAAATAATGTATTTGAAAGGTTAATAGAATAAGATAATTATGCAAGAATGTTTATCGTATAATTCAAAAAGTACTTTCTTAGTTTTAATAATCAGGTAGACCTGTAAGTAATAGATAAATAAAAATGAGACAAAAATAACTTATCTTATTAAAAGTTCTTCAAAGACCATAAGAGAGGTCAATGCTAGAGGTCTTAATATGGGTTTAAAAATAGTACAGAAGCACTTATAGTTTGTTAATAGTCTGCATGGTGATAGTGTTAAGTGGGGAACAGATTAGAATTTAATTTATGAGTTGATATTGAATACTAGACTAATTATTTTGTTGATCCTGATCTTCCTACTTTTCTTGCTTTAGGGCAACAATGCTTCATCTATCAGTGTATTTAACTTCTAAATTGTTGTATTATACTCAGGTGACCGTTAAGGCCCTTGGGCCTCTTGTTTACATCTTATATTCTATTGAAATATTATTTTAGTTCAATTTCATTTTTTATGATTGACGTTTAAGCTCTACAGGTCGAAGTAATGCGATGACAAAGTGTCTGATCGTCTGTTACTGTATTTGTTAGTCTGTAAATATTTTCGAAAA